TGAAACAACAGCCCACCATATGCAATGTTAAACGAAGTGTCAATATTCAAATAACAAGACAACAAGCAGATTTGTTGCATAAAATATGTAAATACCATTAACATACAGTGCCATATGATATCTTCTGTTTTGATGGTTACTGATCACCTATCTTTTTTGCCTCCTCAGCCTCAGCAAAGACTGGTCTTGTCAACAGGTGCTGCAAGAGGATGTGCTGTCCTAAGACAGAGCTAAACAGGCACCTGTGGTGTTGGAGTAAGGAAACAGTACACCCACCTGCTTTTGAGTTGTTTCAAACTTACCAATACAACATATTTTTGCCCATTCCTTATTTTTATTACCTGCTTTTTTTTAAGTAAGCATCTCTCAAATATAATTGCCTTTTAAATGATAACACCAAAAAAATCAAAAGAATCAGTAATCAATAACCATATCAAAGCAGCTATGCTTGAGTTTTCTACCAGGAATTAAATGGAAAAGTTAATAATAAAAAAAGATCAGAAAAAAGAAAAAGTAACAAGATAAAACCAGGAAAAATATTGGGTGCTAAACTGAACATTTGCTTGCAGTCTTAAAAAAAAATTCCATTAAAAAAGAAAATAAAACAAACAAAAAGGACAACTTAGGTATCATTGTTCTGTGTGTATAGGTTAATATTATTTGAACTTGCTTTCAAGTGGTTCAAAAAAAATAATTTCCAAGTTCAATTGATTAGTAAAACATTAGCTTTTGTTTATCTCAAAAGAAAGAGAAAATTATATTAAGTTTTTTAAATTGAGGGAGGAAATTGCATCATTTTCTGTGTGATTTACTTATTCTAATTTATCAAGGATTTAAAGAAAAGCAGATATGCTGATTAATCAAGTCTTGCCCATCAGTAACATAGTCAATATTTCCGCAAATGTCTGCAGAACAATTTCCCCCAATCAAAAATTTATAAATCAATTTAAATTCCTGGTAATTAAATTTACTAGCTTGACAACAATAAATGTGGTACTTTATAAAAGTAGCATATGAAATTTGTACTCAAGAATATATTGATCAAAGGTAAAACAGCAAACATTTCTATTAAACCAAGGTTCTTAGAAGAAATTAGAAAGTTTGAAACATAAATGCCTGCAATTGTTTCAAATGCAGTAATAATTTTGCTGATTTGGTCCATTAAAACTGATTACTTAATTAGGCAAACATTCTAGGCTTCTAAACACTCACACAGACAAAAAGGGAAGCCTTGGCACAGCCGGTCTACACCTGAGATGAGAATTCTGAAAAATATTGTAGAGACTCAAACTTTTTGGATCTGGCTCTATGCAAAACTTAAGCAAGGAATTAAATTCTAAAAAGTGGCAAACTGAAGCTTAGGGAAAAAAAGAAAATTCACCTCTAATAAATTATTCATTTATCTTTTCAGCTTGCTTATGTTTTAAACTATTTTAGAAATGGCAAGTAATAATACAGCTTGTCTCTATGGATTCTTGAAAATACTAATTCTTTTCTCCCCTTTGGTCATACTCTGGTATTATCTAAAAGTAACTAATGAAATTTCTGCTGTCTTGTATCAGAAGTACCTGCCTACAAAATGATTTCCAAAGTTCTTAACATGAATGAAAACAACCAAAAAGATTTTCTATCTATAGAAAAAAAAATAGCACTGGAAACTCAGATGCAGGAATCTTAAATATAATTAAAGAAAAAAATCCTGTTTACACTTAGAAGATATCACATATAGTTTTAAGAATCTTACAGATTTGATACAGTCAGGAGAAAAAAAAATTTTCAAAAAAAAAAAAGAGATTTCTTAAAATAATTGCAAGGAGACCCTATAAACTATCTTTTCAGGAGAAAAGCAAAGCAAGTCAACTCACATGCACAGCTTCCAAACAGAAGTCTTACCCTCTTCCAGGAAAACAACAATGAGATTTTATTACCCTGCTATGATTCTTTCATTTCAGACATGATTAATTAGCAAGTATTACACTTCTCAAAACTCCCACCACACTCTCCTCTCCTTATTTAACACTCCTACATGAAAAAACAAGTAGCCACCAGCAGTATAAGACAAGTATCCAAAAACTATTTCAAAGAAGGAATACTTCTTTCATATCTTTGCCTCCAAAAATAAGCAGGATGCTCTTAACTGCTTTCACATTTTTTTTTAAACTTGGTCATTTCCTTAACGATACCTTTTGAATTCTAAATAATAGATGCAACATATTCAGTATTTAAGAATATATGACATGTTTAATCTGATACCTCTATTTTCAGGCTGAAATTCCAAAGAATTTGTAATCCATGCAGCTTATACTGATAAGTATCCACATGCACAATTAATAAACAATAGAAGTGCTGTATACAATCTTATTTGGGAACACAGTTTCCATGGGAAAAATGTTTCTTTTCCAAATAAAAGCAAATTTGTCACAAACAAAATGAAGTTAGTAAACAGGAATAAAGAAATAGAAGAGGGAGTGAAGAGAGAACTCTAAAATTTAAATGAATGAAAAACCTCTGACACTCTTCATAGTCTTCCAAACATTTTTTCAAAATGATTTTCCTTTCAAACAATCTATTTCCAAAATGTCTATATTAAACAAAAAAGCTGAATGTATTACAAATGTATATTCTAACTATCATCAAGTTTATGAAGCCTGGGATTTCCCCTTCAGCCTTTCAACTGTGATGGCTTGAAAACTTCACACACAGTACAATACTAATAAATAGATCTTGTTGGTTCCAGGAAACATTTTTTGAAAAGAAATCTATACTGGTCAAAATATCTTTGCTTTTTTTTTTTTCTGTTGTATTAAATTTAGGATCAAAAACATCAAAGCAGCTTCCACCTCGGACCTAACTTTTAGAGGATCAATGTGACAAGGCAGTCCCTGATAGATGTTTCTCTTGATAAACGACTTGTTCAAAAGAGACATTGTAGCTTTCATTTCCTGACCACAACACACTTTTAATTTGCAACAGCAGAGCTGCCAGAATGTGAGTGCTTGCCCACTTTCTAGCCTTTTAGGTTTGTAGCTGTTTCCTTTAGGCCACACATTGGAGACAAACAAAATCTAAAAATAATCCAAGTAATAGAATTAGAAAATAGGAGTCACAAACACCACTTTCTACATATACACAAGTGTCTCCTGTGTATCTCTCTCTCTCTCTCTCTCTCTCTCTCTCTCTCTCTCTCTCTATACATATACTTACCCCCCCCAAAAAAAAATTCTAGTGTGTGATAACAAGACTCCTCCTTATGAACATCATTTGCACATCAGACATTTAAACACACAGAGAAATAAATTATGTGACTATTATTTAATAGTAAGTAGAAGACTTGGGGGGAGCAATTTGCACATTTACATCTGCAGTTAAATGTCATGAATTATATGATTGCTATGCCAGCATGTTTTTTATATATTATTACAATGATTATTATTACTACTACCCAGAAATCACATTTAAGTATCAATACAGTGAACAGTCAAACCATCCAATTTCTGCTCTCAGCACATTGTCCGAGCTCCGATTTAAAATTTATAAATGTAATATCCTCCTCATCACAGGCAGCAGCCCAATCTGCTCTGAATATATATTACAGCTTTAACATCACAGAGGGAAATCGCCCATCTGGCAATCCCATTCGCTCCAACAGCTCCGGGGGAAAAAAACCTGTGCTCTCTCCTCCTTAAAACATTTCTTAGGGCAAATTATGTGCATCTAAAATAAACAGTCTTCTTATTGATCGCTTCAAAGTCAACAAGTTCCAAATGCAAAATTCAATCAAATCCTTTCTATCGTGTAGAGCGGTGTGTGTTTAGCTCTATAGTCACCAGGGTCCAACTAGAAGTGCATGTCGCGCAACGGGTCTTGAAGTCCCTTTCCTCGTATTCACATTTGTGTTATGAGAGAGCAGTGACCACGGCCACACTACAGATGCCTGGCAGCTTTGCCCCCCTGTTATTTCTTTCTTTCACATTCTCTCCTTTTTTCTCTCTTTGCGGGAGAAATTCATGGTGTTGGGATAAATGTAAAAGACAGCAACAACAACAAAAAAGAAAAACAGTTTAAAGTGGACATATCCTTTGATTATGCAAAACACTTTAACATCTTTTTGTTGTTGTTGTTCCCTCTTAGTCTTAATTGAATATCACACAGTGTACACACAGCTCGGCCACAAGAGCCATTGAAAACCCCTCTCACTCCATTTAACTGACTTTTTTTTTTTGAAAGAGGAAAGAGCAATTTCAAATGAAGTCAATTTCAGTGCCTGATTATTTAATTCTGTCACAGGTTAAAAGTAAAAAGCGCTGACAGGCAGACAAGTAAATGGCAAGGAAAAAAATTACCACTGTTCCTTGGAATAAGGACTTTGAGCAGTGAAAATATATAGTCTGTTTTTATGTAAAAGATATACCTTCATTCACTCACCCCAAAAAACTACACAGAGGAACCGATCACTCCACAAAGTGCAATCATCAAGAGAGCAGATAGCCAAATTGCAATGACAGGTTGAGAAAGAAAAAGAGAATTTCACCCAGTTCTGTGTGTGTACATATATATACTTTCATTAGTTAGCAATCTTTCTCCACACTCCCGCCCTCTCCCCTCTGCCACCCACCTCCTCAAAGGAAGAAAAAAAAAAAAAAAAAAAAACCACACTGAGTTTAACTAATTTACATACTATTTGACTTCAGCCGTTATGCAGTGCATTACTAGTAACATGCAACTTCAGGATTACAGCTAAACCCAATAAAAGTGGACTCAAGTAATATGTTAATCAAAACTAAAATACATAAACAAGTGATAACAAACGCAAAAAGCATGGTGACAGATTAAAATAAACATATACATTTTTAAAAATAAACATATACATTTTTTTAAATAAAAAAGAATTAGGTATCATGAACATCTGCTTCTCAAGCAGTCTTCAATGGTTTTATCATGCTATTTAATTTGTCTTTCCTATTTAGATGCAAAGGAAGTAAATTCCAAAACTGACATACCATAAACACTGGTGCTACTGATCATTTCTTGCTGGCAGCACAAAAAGCTGAATTGGATTTCTCACAAGCAGGAATTCCAAAGGTTGCTTTTCATTAAAGCCACTTTTCCTCTCAGCTATCAAATGTCACTGCCTTGAAACGTGGGCCCTTTCGTCAGGTATTCATTTAACCTACATGCATATAATTAAGGGGGAAAGCAACATCAACAAAAAGGGGATCTCAGATCACAGGAGAAGAAAGAAAGGAAAAAAAGCACATGACCAGGAATGCAAGTCCATGTCAATTTCACTCACTCCCATTGAAACTAACAAGAGCTCCGGGGAGGACGGTAATAGGATCAGTGGATTGTATATACCATTAAATTATACATCTTTCTCTCCCATTCCTTGCCAACAATACGCCCACCACGCTGTACCCCCTCCAAATGATGTGCTTACATTTTTTTTTTGCAACCGAGCTTGTGACATTTTTCTGGTTCCCCCAGCCACGAGATTGTAATTTAACCTCAACTTTTCGTGTGTGTGCAAGATTCTTATTTACACTTCTTATTTACTTAGAAGTTAGTTCCCGAAGAAAGTCTAGCCCCACCCTATGGCTCCGCTTTCTTTTTATTTTATTTTTGAAGTAAAAAAAAGATAGTAATAAGTAAGCCCAATATAGCGAAAAACGAGATTCTTTCAATCGCGAATTCTTAATCCCATACTATTGTTACAATGATTAAGCAGCTAAAATATGCATTATAATGTTTCAGGGCTACTTTGTACAGAGAAATTAGACAGCAGGTTGGCGTACCGAATAGAAACGAATGCAAATTAAATTTAATGTTTACGGCACAACTCGGAGATCTCTTTTTATTACAGTTCTTGGATCTATTTATATTCTTTAAAAATAAAACAAAAACAAAAACAAATTTAAACAGATGGTAGAAAACTACGAAGCTCCTCTTACCTGAACGCGCAGAGCGAGAACCCGATAGGTTAGCGTAGCATCGATCCGATGTGTTTGCTGATGAATGGAAGCTAGGGTTAAGTGAAGGTGCCTATGATTTGAAATCATTCCAAGTTTTTGAAGGGAAGACGGACTGCAGCCTCTGCCATGTTGGAATTTCAAACCCAAAACAGCTGCTTGGAAGGAGCCAGCATGCCAGAGGCTGAGCGCAGGCGCAGAGCGCCGCCGAGCCAAATTCAAATCACTTTCACACTAAGAGCCAAAGATCAGTTTTCAAAGGAGAGAGGGAGAAAGAGACCGAGGCTGCCGTGAGGGAGAGAAGACGCGAGGCAGTGGCGAGAGGCGGGCAGTGGAGAGAGACGGGCAGCGGGAGGACCGGGAGGGAGAGGGAGAGGCGCACGGAGCCCGCGGAACTGGAGGGGGAGAAAGGGAGGCGGGAGGCGAGCTGGCGAGCGAGCTAGAGACGCGCCAGAGATTCATGGGCAGGGAGGGCTCTATGGCCGCGCCGCGCCGGCCGGCCGCTCGGGTCATGTTACACGGCCGGGGCCGCCGCGGCCGCCCAGCCTCGCCGACGCGCTCACGCTGCCCGGAGGGGGCCCCGAGGTCATGATTACGCGCGCTGGGACTCGGAGCTCTCCCTGCCCGCACTCTCGGGAAGCCCAGCCTGAGGACAGGAGAGCGACGCCTTAGTGGGAAGGGGCCTTTCTCTCCCACGCGTGACCGGCCAGCCCTTGCGCTCATGAGCCAGCCTCGGAGGGCCCGGGACAGGGCTGCGCTACTCGCAGCCCTACGGGGCCCCTCCCTGCCAGCTCCGGCCCTCTGGACAGCTTCGGCCTGTCCACCCTTCCCCAGCCTCCCCTGGACTCCACGAACAGGACAAGGTCTGGCCCTGAGAGCCAGGACCTCTCCCTCACCTTCCCCTGGGCCCCCAGCACCAGCTAGAAAATGACTTTATCTGCCAAGAAGAGGCAACTTCGGGAGGAAAATCTGCATTAAGCCTGTTCTCCTCCCCCTCCTCCCTGTGAATAAATAAAATCATAAGTGTCTAGGTGTGCGGTCCCCTCTCAAGCTCCCTGGCTCCCCTCCCTACCTCCCCCAGGCGGCTCTGGCAGGGGAAAGCAGCGCCCCGGGGACCCCAGTGTGGGCTTGCTGGTGCGCAGGCATAGACGTTAGGCTTCTGCTTTCCCAACCCCCCTCTATGGAGCAATCTGGGGACCCAGGAGTGGGAAGCGAGTAGAGGCTTTGTGGTGCTGGGAGCTGAGGAAGAATGAAATGTGCAGTTGAGTGTGTTGCTCGCATCCCAGGGAGCAATGCAGTGCTGATTGTCTGTTGCTGAGATAGTCTTTTGTTCCGAACATAAGGTTTAAGAAACACACACACGTTTTCTGGGGTCTCTTGTTAGATGTAAATGTGCTGCATCCAGACGCTTACTATGCAGTGTAAGCTCAGTTGGTTTACTAATCACCCCGCCCCACCCCCAAACAATCAGGATCATTTGAATGGGAACCTCATTCAGACTTCTAGGCTGAGAGTATTGCCTTCAACCTATTTCATTCTAGACTAGCCAACCATCCAACTGAGATAATAAAGCAAACAATAACATTTGATCATGATGTCTACGAGATAATGTGCCTGGCAAAGTTCTTTAGGAATTGTAATGAGAAAGAGAGTGAGTTGGGTAATAATTTCTCTTCATTTTCATTAAATATGACTTTAATAGATAAATGGTGAGTTTATACTTCGGCCTGGTGGATATTCAGTCCACTGTATTTCAACTGAGCTAAGAATGAACGAGGCAAATTATGTATTGGACCAGGAGCCCATCAAGCTGAAAATGTTACCTTTGAAGATTGGAACCAAAACATTCTTGTTTAGAACTGATCCTCCTTGTAACTCTTTACATCTCCCCCAGTTTCTCTACTGTAGCTTTCTCTGCTGTAGTTTTTATAGCAGCTCTCCCGATACTGAAAAATCAGCTCTAATAAAAAAATACCAGACATATATACTTTGAAATTAATTTCATTCTCCTTTTGTGATTTTTCTTAACTGCGAATGGAGGCATTTAGTAAACGCGATAAGAAAGAAAAATTATTTTGGTTAAATCTAGGCAGATGATAGAATATAAAGACAAAAAAAGAGAGTGATTTAAGATCTTAACAAATATTTCTAAGGAATGAGAATTCTATTTGGAATAAATTTGACCTTTCTGCACATTTACCAAATAATAGAACTAGCCTTCAAAATAGAACAGAACTTTATTTTGATGTAACAGAGTACACTGAAACCCCTTTTAGTTATATTTTACAAGGCAGCATGAAAATGATATTATGGAAAATTGTTCACTACAGAGAAATAAGTGTAAAGAATATCTATGGGTCACTGTAGGATTAAGTACAGTCAAATTTAGAAAAAAAAATGTTAAGAACTCTTAATTTCTGTTATTGTCCATTTGTGGAATGACAGCCAGAAGTCCTCTGGACACACAGCAAATGCTGTCTGCAATTCATTCAAAACTGGTCTGTCCTTGTTTAAAAACTTCAGAGCTCATCAACCTTTAGCACTAGATTACTAGTACTGAATTTACAGTTCCTTGTGTAAATCAAAATATTGAACTATATATATATAATAGAATAGCTATTGAGTATAAAAATAATGTATTTTGATGACAGACATACCATTCGTTTGCAACATCTAAAATAAAATAATCCCTACTCTTTAAGAAAGAGAGGAAAAAGTGTGGTTAGCAAGTTTATTAGTAGATAATAACTAGTACTTTTTTCAATTCCTTTATATATTCATTTTGAATATTATAAAATCCATTGCTCAACATACCAATGAATATAATTAACTGTGGAATCAAAGAAAGGGAAAACTATTCAAAAGAGCACTGCATGTATTTACACAGAGTTTAAAAATTGTTCAAAATTACATATACTCTGGGGGAAAGAGACTTACATAATAGAATATACATTATGGGATTTGCATGACTAATAAGATCCACAGTGGGTTTGTCATTGTCCTACTTCTGAAATTTTTTTTTCTTTTAGGTATAAGCAAAAGTTGCTTTTCCCCGGTTACTTTAAGTAAAAGGAAATAAAATTTGACTATTTTTTTTTCATAGAGGTTTAATTGCTTTGTTTGCAATGTTTACAGTGGGTTTTTTGTTGCACTAAGAAAACTATCTTCACTGATATGACATGATTAAATAGCATTTTAGTGATCATCATATTCTATGTGCATTTATCTTTAAAACTTTTATTCAATAGAAATTCTCTAGCCATAACTGATGGATACCTCTATAATATATTCTATGAAACTTTTTTGTGACAACATAAAAATTAGAAGTGGAGCATGTAAAGAAGTTTAAATGAGCTTATCAAGGAAACAGTTAATATAGAGAAGCACTTATTTGACTAATTTTTTCACAATACGTCAGTCACATTTCTTTAGTTTTAATTTTTTAAATGTGGAGACATTAAAACAAAATGAACTGTTCTAGTAAAAACACTAATTTTTAATATATGTTATATTTTGTCCTGGGATATTTAAGAAAACCAGAAGAAAAATGAACATAAGTTTTATTTTTCTTCAGGAATGTGTGTATACTTGTGTGCCTTAGTGTTTGTGGGTATTCATCTCAAGCTAATTCAGAGGAGAAGAATTGCACTTTTCCCTTGTTCTTTTTCTCCATATAATAAAAACAACAATAACAAAAATATAGGCTAAGAAATAAACAAGATGATATTGAATGGAATTTTGCAAGTGGCGATATGCTTGCCTGCACTGGACGAAGGGTACTGTGAGCTAAGGTGGACACAGAAATGTGCTTTGCCTGTGTGACTTTTCCTTAGTATGTGCTTTTCCATAGGAAAGGGAAGGAAAAGATGGCTATAAGTAGAAGATGACAGAAGGAAGATTAGAGAGATGAGGATGAAGAGATACTTTAAATTCAGTACTAAACATTTTGATAAAACATTAAACTAACAATATCTTTTTTTTTAATCACTATATTTCAAAAAGTGTTCCAGGACTTAGTAGCTGTCTATTAAATCTAGACTTTTTTTCCATATTGCTCACAAATCCAAAGTAAACCTTGAAATGGTGAAATCAGTGATATAATAATTTTTCAATCATTCCATAATGCTGCAGTTTATTTTAAGCCTAATCATTTGTACTTCAATTACTCTAAGACTACTGAAAAGTTCTTATTATGCACCCCCCCCAAAATAAAAGATAATGAAGACCTTGACCTCATTGACAAAAATCACTCAAATTCTTCAGAACTACACTTAACTTTCAAATACTGTCAAATGTTCTCACTGATCTAGCCCTATGATGGAGAGAGAGGAACTAGTGGAAAATCCTATGATGGGTTCACTAAAGATATTTTCTTGGTTATACAGAAATAGTTTATTCTAATTACCTGAGGATTGTATTTTTTTTCATTTATATATAGTTGTAGTATTCTTACCTTTGCTGCCCCCACAGCCTGGTTTTGCATGATTCTCAATTTCATTCAAAAAGTACATCCTGAATACTTACTGTAGTTAAAAGTATTGCACCAAAAATTGCAAAAGAGTTAAAGAAAATTGGCCTTAACATTTTAAGGATGAGGCTAGATAAATATAGCTCAAAGTGAATATTATAAGTACACTAATCAAATACTTCTGCCCAGAAGAAGTTGTAGGTTTGTTCAGGAAGAAGAGGGCATCCTTTCTGGACTTTGTGGTTTCTATCTTATTCTCCACAGTACAAACTGCTTGTACATTGCGTATACTGGTTTTTTGTTGTTGTTTTGGGGGGGGTTATTTTGTTTGTTTGTTTGTTTATGCACTCTGTGCTTCTCTTGCCATTGTGCTCTCTGCCTGAAGTGATTTTTACCCTCCTCTTTTGTGGGCTAATTTCCTGGAGACTTAGAGCACTTACTTCCTCTAGGGACAAACCCCAGCCTTTCTAGGGAGTATAAGGTATTTTTCCCCAGGCATTCACTGAAATCTACATCTTATCTGTATCTTTACATCATTTCAGAAGTATCCTTAGGTTTGACTGCTCCAGCAGATTCTGAGCTTCTTGAAGGTAGGCCATCTTTCATCTTGTTTTTCCCCCAGTGCCTAAATGAATAAATGGCAATCCTGAATAAATGGCTACTGAGGAAACTAATGAGTTGATGCATAAAGAAAATAGATATGAGTGAAGGAAGATAGAAAATTTGGGGTGAGATCTCTGCAGGAAACAGCTGATAGTCTAGTTTGGCTGAAACTTTGCTTAACACCAGTAGAGAATGGGAAATAAGGAAATCAGAATTGGGAAACGTGTTGCAGAAGAACTCCATTGAGTCTCTGTCAGAGAGGTTTGCATTTGATAGGTAGATAACAGGGAGATTGGGAAGATTTTTAAGCAAGAAATTTAGATGGGCTTTAAGAAGATTAGAGTTAACAGAACCCTGGCTTTA